GGCGTCTGCGGCTGCGAGAACTCTGACGGAACCTTCATCTCCGGCGCCAGCGACTGCACGTAAAGAACATCTGACTTATAGGAGACGTTCGTGGTGGTTGATGGGAGATATGGTCATGCTTGACATGAGCCAACAGTGTGTGCTATTCATGTACATAACTATATGATACAAAAAAAATCTTTTGTACAAAAATGATCACATATTCACCACGTGGCCTAGATGGGGCGCGGGCATCATCATCCCGGCGCAGGGTTTGCTGCTCTATAACGCTTATTATATCGTTCTCCATATTGGTTAAGACTCAGGTCTCGATGTGGCCCGAGCCATCCTTTTCATCGAAATAAGGCTGAACCTAAATGACCTTTTGACTTTTATCACGCATCTTGGAATCATCTAATGATGTAATCAGTTATCTGCCATTGGTAGTCGCGAAATTTGCACTCAAACATGGAGTCAGGTCCCTCAATATTACTACAAAGCATCCCAGATCGAAGCAAAACACTCACCAGCCTAATTGCTGGTATCTATGCTCAATGATCTGAGCTCGATATCCACACCTCTACATCGGTATTCTTTCGTCCCCTGTATTGTATCTCGGTTGCCAGATGCGGGGCTGTCAATCTTGAATACTTGATGACACCGCCAGGCAGTTGTTGGGCAACGCCGTCATTTTACTCGCCGCTATTTTGTGCAAGCTTTTACTTTTTAAAACTCATTGATGTGCTAGTGAGTCCACGATAATCCGGGTACTGAGCTGGAAGGTTGGTGCAAAGAGTCGACCGTGCTTGCTAGGCCGAATCGCTTGGCTTCTCAACTGAGAACCTCCAACCAACAGCTAACCATTGCGGCCACACTGTGTTGCAGATTTGTTGCATCCCACTCCTAGAAACGCCTTGATCTGATACGTGGACTGGATCCCTGTTTCGGGACCATCAACCGAAAATGGCAGACAACCAAGGATCTGTATGCAATTTCCGTGTTGGTTGGACCAACAACACTGTCCGAGGCCAAGAAGAGGGGTAATCAGGCGAGACTGTCTCTTTGTCTTTCAAAACTCTTGAGCTTTCATGAGAGTAGTGTTCGACGGGCTTTGGTTGAATTTCTGTGGTCATCAAGCTTTCAGAATGTGTGCAGATAACAACACGAACCCGGTGGCTCAACCGTCAACGGCCGCGGCTCAGGCAACGCAACCCAACAGCACGACCGATCATGAGGTTGTGCTCATTGCTGAGGTCCACGACGAGAGCGACGCTGCATCAAACCTTGGCAGCGTGAGTAACTCGCTGTTCAAATTCTCATTTTGATGTTGACTACTTGAACCAGAGCGTCGCATCCTCGAGTACGAGTGTCAGCAGTTCTATCCTAGAATACAGGATGGAGAACGGTAGAACATATCACGCATACAAAGACGGCAGTACGTTGGAATCTACAAGTCACTCACGCATGTGTCGCTGTTGTCCGATGAAGCTGACTCATGTTTTCGTCAGAATACTTTTTCCCGAATGATGAGAGGGAGAATGACCGGCTCGGTAAGACCATCAGTACTTACTTGAAGGCCTAGGATGTTGACCTTGCGCTACTGCGGTAGACCTCCAGCACAACCTCTTCATCTTGACTTTTGATAACAAGCTCGCAACTGCTCCACCCAATGACCCAGGATCAAAGGTCGGCAATGTTCTCGACGTTGGGACTGGGAGCGGTATCTGGGCTATCGACTTCGGAGAAGAGCACCCTGATGCAGAGGTTTGCGGAGTCGATCTTTCAGCTGTCCAGCCTGAATTGTGAGTGCACAGTGAAATTCAGGACCCAGGCGGGATGCTAAAAACTAACACGAGCATCTAGTGTGCCACCAAATGTCAAGTTTGAGATAGACGATATCGATCAGCCTTGGACGTTCTCGAAACCATTTGACTACATTCATAGTCGGATGATGAATTCGTCCATCAAAGACTGGAAAGCCTACATACAGACGTGCTTTGAGTAAGTAGCAAAATTCCCATTTTTAGAAGGCGGAGCGGATTCACTGTCAGGAGGTGGCTAAGCTAGACTGCAGCAATCTGAGTCCCGGGGGGTACTTGGAACTGATCGAATTCGATGCCGTGCCAACTTCAGATGATGGCACCCTGAAGCCCGACTCGGCAATCACGAAGTCCGCCACCCTACTCTTCGATGCGGCGGCAATTATTGGTCAACCATTCGAGGACATCAGCAGGATGAAAGATGTCCTGATCGAAACTGGGTTCGAGGACGTTCACAAACAGCTCTACAAGTGGCCGACAAACTCTTGGCCCAAGAATCCGAAGTACAAGGAGCTGGGGATCTGGAATCATGAGAATGCCATCGCTGGCTGGGAGGGCTTCTGCATGGCTCCGTGCACTCGGATCCACGGCTGGAGCAGAGAAGAAGTGCTTGTTCTCATGGCTGAGGCCCGAAAAGAGTTCAAGGATAGGACTATCCACGCGTACTTCAACATGTGAGCTTATCGGACTTCGTTCCTACTGGTCGCGGTTACTAACTGTACCTCAGCTGGTCCATCTATGGAAGGAAGCCTCTCGTCTCTGAGTCTTCCACCTAGTTTTCGAAAATCGGGTTTGTTGTTGGCCCTACAGGGACCGTTGATAAGTTAGGGTTGAGCAGGGGGCCAATGAGTTTATTCAACAAAGAGTTTCGGCTCTAATGGTGAGAGATCAACGAGTTCCGCATTAAGACTCAGGGTGGAGACTGGAGAGGATTTAGCACGACAAGGGTTGAACAATTGACTTTCTTTGCTTGAACTTATGATGGAAAATACTGCAAGACTCAATCCATGAGAACATCCACTCCCTCCAACTATGATCTGTTCTCGATACACCACACTAGCCATGCTAGACCGAAGTTTGTGACTGGAAGCCAATACGGCATATCTGCTCGCATCTGACTCCAGTATCCAGAAGACGTCAGGAAGCATCCGAGGAAGAGGGCGAAGATTCCCCCTCGGGTTTGTGGCAGCGCGAGTAGGAAGCCTTCCGTGACCATCAGTGCTCCGATGTATTGCATATGAAGCTTGATCGTGCGTTGATCAGTGAAAGGATAGAGTGGGTGGAGGAACGGCGCCGTTTTCTGAGACTTTCGGTAGATTCTTTCGTGAAGCGTCTTGAAAGGCCAAGAGCCGAGTCTAGGAATACCGCCGACGAAGTATTCGAACGCGAGGATGATGCGAGGGATAGCGAGGAGAATGGAGGCCATGATTAAGAATATCGCGGCGGTAAGATAGACAGTAAGGTCTTTCCTCAGAGATTGCTTAGAAGGGAGCTCTTGAATCAACCCATACGACTAGAAATCGGGCAATAGTATCTAAGAGGCGGGGTGAATATGGATATTGCGGGGCGTCCGGGGAAATGGTCGTGTTCAAGAATGGTTCAACGTTGATGATGTAATGGTGGCGCTCACCATCCAAGTCGTGAGACATAACTACTGCACGTGAGCGTAACAGCACAGTTCCAGGACCATGAACACCAACAACAGACCCAGGGAAGTCGTGCGTAGTATTCAATACCCATAGATCTTGAATATCTGAAAGATGGGGTTTGACGATATAGGTATGATATGACCATTTAATTATTTGCAAATTACTTCTGCACTTTCGCAATCTCCGCCATTGTTTCTGCAGCTCCCCGGGCTAATATCGCAGAGTCTTGTCCTCCAAGGAGAAAGCGAACGCCTAGCTCATTAATCGCCCAGTCATGTAGCTCATGATTGTTGTAGATACCGGCCAAGCCCATGATCTTGCCGTGCTTTTTGCACGCCCGGCTAATGGTCTCCATAGCTTCCCGGAAGACTGGACTCTGGAATTGGCTCGGCACGCCTAACTCAATGGCGAGATCATTCGATCCGACGAGTAGAACGTCGGCGCCTTCGACGGCAGCAATCTCGTCGATATTCTGAATACTCTCCTTCGTCTCAATCATCAGGAATGCAGTTGAACCGTTGGCGTTCGTCTCCGAGATTATCGTGCTCTGTGGCACAGCCTTTAACGAGAACACGGGCAGTTGGCTAGTGATGGACCTCTTTCCTTGGGGTGGGTATTTGCATATCGAGACGGCAGCCATGGCATCAACTGCAAGTAACTTGTAAGTTCTTCTTGCCGACTGAATGGACACGGAAATCCAGGTAGGAATCTCTCGTGGTACTTACTGTGGCCGTGAATGTGAGGAAATACAACCCCCATTGCTCCTCCATCGAGAACCTTTTGAACAAAGCCATTGCCGCACTGGTAAGGTACTCTTACAAAGGGCGTCATGCCTAGTTGAAGACCAACGATGCAGTGTTGACTGGCATCATGAATGGACAACGTCGAATGCTCGAGATCAATGAAAAGAGCATCAAACCCTCCATTTGCCGCCAAATGGACAATTTGTGTATTCGCCACAAGGCGAATGCCCATTGCCTATATCGTTATTTCAGTAAAGAAGTTCATGCTATGGCCATCTTCTAGAAGCATACCGTGCATAGCTTTCCCGACGCGCTCAGGCGAGTCAAGCTGTTGGATAGAAGAGAAGCCATTTTAGATGAAAGAAAAAATCATTGATATGTCAACATGCAGTACTTCATTGTGAGATATCATGGAGATGTTATTTAGTATTCATTACTTCCTTGGGCCGAGGATAGTGTCAGCTTACTTGTGGATGGTTCGGTTCCTCTTCCCGCCAATCTGAGCGATTCGGCCAGTCTTCCCGATGGCGTACAAGTGTCAAGTGGAGACTCGGCAGCCCGCGCCGTCGCCAACTCGGCGATGGATGCCAGTTAGCCGGAGCATTTGGGTCGCCATTTTCTCGCTAATATTCGGGTGATCAATCCAAAGGAGTACGAGAAAACCCGAAGGCTTGTTTGCAAAAACCTTTAGCCTTTCTTCACTCCAGCTTTGCCACGATGTTTGGACACGTACAGCCCGGTCCTCCAGATCCCATGTTCACCCTCAAAAGAGATGCAGACAACGACACATGCACAGAAAAGGTCGACTTGGGTGTTGGTATCTATCGTAGCGAAAAGGGTAGTTACCAGGAGCTGGAAGTTGTAAAAAAGGTATTGCCGAAAGACTCTGCTCCAGTACTAGTGACAACAAAGAGCAAGCTTCAATTGGAATTAGAACTGATCAAGACGTAGGCCAAATTAGAACTAGATGAGTTGGACCTAGGGCATGATGTAAGAGTCTCAAAACCACCGGTTTGGAACGTACACTGAGATCTTTGTTTAGTATGAGTTGACGATAGGAGATGCGGATTTTCTCCGACTTGCCGCCGAAGTCATGTTCGGCGCGCACAGCGATGCCCTTCAAACTGGCAGAGTATGTGGTTGGCTTGATATTCTTCTGAGATCAAACGATCTTCGAGCAGATCCAACAGGTCAAAGACACTAACTTCGGTATCCAGGTTTCTTCAGTTCAGACTATCTCTGGGACAGGGGCCAACTCCCTGGGAGCCCTATTTATTTCAAAAGTGATGGAGCCAAAACCCAGAATCTACATCGGAGTTCCCACTTGGGGAAACCACATCCCGATTTTCCAAGACACCGGCCTGGAAACCACGACATACCCCTATCTCGATGCGTCAAAACACACTGTCAGCTTTACCGCTCTTCTCGATACTGTGCGATCGGCCGCGCAAGGAAGCATTTTCGTATTGCAAGGTTGCTGCCACAATCCTACCGGAGTCGATCTAAGCCTTAGTCAATGGGAGGAATTAGCTTGTGAGATGAAATGTTACGGGCACTTGCCGTTCTTTGATACAGCGTATCAGGGCCTGGGTGACGGGCTTGACGAAGATGCCGCAGGTGTACGCGTTTTCGTGGATGCGGGGATTGAGATGCTGGTTTGCCAGTCATTCTCAAAGAACTTTGCCTTGTATGGGGAGCGTTGTGGCGCCCTTCATTTTGTTGGTAACTCGCAGGAGGTAGCCGCGAACGTTCAAGATAGGCTTCGAAGCTTGATAAGGCACACGTACTCATCAGCTCCGGCCTACGGTAGCCGTCTTGTCAAGATCGTACTCAACGATGCTGACTTGCGAAAAGAGTGGCAAGTCGGTGTTCGAGAAGTTTCTGTTTTCCATCCGCTAACAACAGGCTTCAGGACTTCAGAGACCGATGGCATGAGGAAGCGTCTGAAGAGAAATCGCCAAGCTCTGTACGACGAGCTTGCGATACGTCTCAAGGTACTTTATTCCGAAATCAGCCATATGTGCTAGGATTGACTTCATCTAGACACCCGGAGATTGGTCATATCTGATGAAGGAAAAGGGGCTGTTCTCGTCAGTAGTTCTATGTTCTTGATGGTGGACGGTTACATCGCTAATCTCGTGTATAGGTGCCTGGCGCTGTCACAATCTCAGTGCAGGGAGCTAGTTGAGACGTATCATGTTCATCTCCCAGGGTCCGGAAGGATCAATCTTGCTGGCTTGAGCGAGGAAAATGTGAAGCGCGCAGCACAGGCCATTGACAAAGTCACTAGGATACATGTGAATGGGAAGCTCTGAGTCCGCCATAAGTTCAGAGAGGTTCTAGAGAGTAAAGTAGGTGACTGTAGCACTTGCGGAACGATTCTGTACTTCCTTTTTATCAATCCAATGACAACCACGACGTACAAGTGCAATAAGTAGAAACCACTAGGAAGTTTAGGGAAGCTCAACCTCGATCAGACTCTCAACACCTTTACCACCACCCCAAATCTTGACAATCTTCAGTCCTGCAATCGTCTCCAACAAGTGGTACCAGTCGCCCTCAGTACGCTCCTTTGAGCAAAAAAGCGTTAGCATGACCATGTCGAGAGCCGATGTCTCCCACCATGCCCCTGTAGAGGGGATGACATTCTCATTGATCAGCAACTTGCTGTACCCAGGCTTCATAGCAGCCTTAATCTGCTTCAGGATAGTTTCACAGACGTTATCCGGCCAGTCATGCAGACATGAGTGCATATAGTAGGCGCGAGCTCCCTTCACGGGCTGCTCTGTCAGAAAATCATGACCCATTGGCGTGATTGCTGGCGTAAGCTCTTGGATCTGGCCAATAACGACTGGAAGATCCTGCAAGATCAGCTTGCCCGGCGCCTCGGGGAAGTACGAGTGGAATTCAGCCAAGTCATGACCGATGCTACCGCCAATGTCCACCAAGAAGAACGCGTCGGCGCCCGTGCTAGCGCCCTCGATAAGTCTCTCCCTGACGGGGAAGAAGCCGGGGGCCATCCAAGGATTACGACCCTGACGGTAGCCGGACATGTGGTGGTTGAAGTGAGTACCGTCTATGTAGATTGCGTGTTAGTACCCATCTGTCACCAAAGTCTGGAAAGAACTGTACTTACACCCAAGGTCTTGCTGCCATGCAAACATATCCTTATCAGTGTTGTATGCATACATCATAGGTGTGTCCTTGGCATCAGTGGGGTTCTTGAAGCCCCTCTTGCGAGAGTACTCGTGAAATCTCAAGGGCCCAGCGCCAGTGCAAGATGTCCTTGGGTTTCCAAGAAGTCAGCAAAGGCATTGATAACATACAACAGAGCATCTAAATATGTAAGGGCAAAGAGCCCAAAGGGGAGGCAGATAGTTTTCCACTTACATCGCGATATATCCATCTCCAATCATGGGGAGGCTCAATGACTTTGAGAAGTTGGTAGGTTGGTACTCATCAAGGCTTGTCTCCTTGATGTAGCCCATGGCACCAAGATGGCGCATGAGGCGACCTATGAGAAGTATGAGCCATGTGAGTAGTACAAGAAGGGAGCTCACTTACTGAGCAGGGCCGGGTCGACGCCGAGAGCTTCACTAAGCTCCTTCACCGTCTGTGGCCTGTTGCCATTCTTGGCCATGAGCTTCCACAGACCTGTATCGACGCCAAAGTTGATGCCAGCAATTGCACCGGTCTTTGATGAAAGTTAGTCATATCAAGTAACATGCGTATTAGCTGACCATCCGAGGCCTACCTGTGCCCAGCAGTGCTTGATCATGGTCTCTCTCGGAGCCTCGAGGGCTTGTACTATAGACCGAGCCTTGAGGAGCAGCTCGTGACGCGCATGGTGGTCATCAGCAGACAAACAGCCAATGTTTTCGTTGAGAACCTTGAGAAGACCAGGAACCGCTTCCAGGTCGTTCGGACGAGTGGCGATTGCTGCATCGACAAAGGGGGCCCCTTTGGTGCCGTTTGTGCCGTTTGTGGAAGACATTATGAATCTGAGTGATCTATCACAGTAGAATGAACGATAGCTGAATGAGGGCTTGGGGTAGCCAGGCATAGAGTTTCCAAGACGTGTACTTATATCTGCTTCAGTCAGTTCAGCGGGATCGGATCTTGGCAGAAGTCAGGGGAACACGACGACGCGCAGACATACCCGGCATCCTGCAATCCTCTGTCCGACACCTTCGGACACTTACGATAAGGAATCAGAATTCTCTCACAATCAGAATTCTCTCAAGGATCTCAGTAGGAAAGAGGGGTGGCGGAACGGGCGTCTATCCGTCAAACAACAGAATTTGGAAATCACCTGTGTCTCGATTCCTCGAATCCTCCACCAACCGTGCCGTTCGCATTCGAGCCACTTTGCGCAGCCAGATGGGGGCTTTCTCCTGCGTGCTCGTCGCATTCCTTGTCACTGACCAGTATGTTGGAGCAGTCTTACACCGAAAACTCACAAGAGGCCGAACCGCTCAAAAAGTACCCCGGTGTTGAAAGACCGGGGCCCCGGGTCACCGGGCCCACCATGAGGAGTCTTCCGGACTAGGTAGGCTCTGGGCAAATGTTTGTTGGTTTGCGCCAACATCAAATTTGTTGGAAACCGACCATACCAAAGGTCAAAACCCCAGTAGCTATGCGGATACAGAGCCAATTTCGTCAAGTCCACGCCGATCGCTCCGGCTAACGGTCGTTTGCTTCATCCGTTTATCATATTTCAGCCCACATCCTTTTCAAGCATGAAAGAAATCTAGGTCCCCATATAAGAAAGTGAGTACCGCTGGATATACCCTAATAGGTTCTTCTATCACTAAAAGCGTTATTGTCATTGCTCTTTTGATCCGAATTTAGTCGCAGCGCGTAATCTCTATGATGTTGGCGGCGTAGTAGTGATAATTAGGGGGTTGATGATACATCGGCGGCGAGTGGTTTTGTCCTCCATTCGGCGAGGTGTGATTCTTCATACTTGGCTGTTGGTGCTCGACCAGGGTCCTTACATAACTGAAGTCGTTCCACACCATCAAACATCCCATGATGCTTCTGCATCCGCTGATTTTAAAGTTCCACCTGAACTGAAGGAGACGCCAAGGCGACTCCTTCCAACGTGATGAGAACTGCGATCTCCTTTCCGAGAGGATTAGAGAGCTGGGGGCCGCGCGCCGCGGCCCACGTCGGACTTATTGTCCCGCCTTTGCAAGTGCCCAAACGGCTAGGGATTTCCAAAATCATTCTTCATTCTGCACGTATGCCGTATATTCCCTGGCATGTTTGCTGTTGGTGCAGGGTTTGATACATCCTTGGACTTTACATGTCTATGGTCTCACAGTCTAACCCCTCAGTCGATGATTCTCTTGGTCATTGTAATCCAGATCTTCAGGGGCGAGATAAGGAGTGGTTGCAAAAACGGTAATGCTGCATATGGTTTTGAGCGACACCCTTGAGTTGCAAGCTGGCATTTCTTTTCGAAGTGAAAGGCGAATAGGAGGTTATCCGTCTCCAGCTAGAGACATGACACCTGACTGTCCCGAGGATCCCAATACCTGGTAAGGACCTCAGGTTGCGCAAGACCTGCACTTCTCCAGCCAATCTCTCGGTGGATGCTGGGGAATCGCTCTGCAAGGAGTCGTGCCGCAGTCTGCTTTCATTTATTCCGCAGCATCCGGGTTGTGCCTGAATCAGCTCTTGTCTTCTGTGCCACATCTTCCGTGATCGCAAAACCATCGGTTCATTGTCTATCGCGAGTTCAAGATGTCGGCTTCGCCAGCGGAGGAATCAGATGAGTGGAAGGCTCAGGATAAAGGGCCAATCATCCTCATCGTCTGTTGGATTGTTACGGCCATCAGCACTTGCTTCGTTGTCGGTCGTGTCTACGTGAGGGGGAGAATAATGAAGAAGTTTCAGAGCGACGACTGGTTCATCATCTTAGGATTGGTACGTGCCTCCGGCTGTCTGAGGAGTTTCTGTCACGAACAATAACCTCTTCGTTTCCTATATCGCGTCAGCAATTCAGCCTAACTTACTGGTCCTCCCAGCTTTGCGGTTACATTTCAACGACTTTGTCTACGATCGCAGTCACCTACGGAAACGGGAGACACATGCCCCTCTTATCGACCGAGCAGCAGCAGGGAGCCATTCTCTGGACCACAGCAGCCTTCTGCCCTGGTATCATGTCCTTCGGTCTTCCCAAGCTAGCTGTTGTCTCCCTGTTAGTTCGGTTGATGAACCCTGACAGATATCATAAGTGGTTTCTATGGTGGCTGGGAATCTGGTGCCAGTTGACGCTATTCGTGACGGCTGGTCTCCTACTTGGACGTTGCATGCCAGCCAGGTCTTTATGGGACTTTTCTGTCGAGGGCACTTGCTTTGATGTCAATATCCTAGTGGCCTATTGCATTTATGCGGGATGTAAGACAAAACTCCTTCCACTATGAGGCCTCTTGAGCTTTGCTAATACTGCACGTTGTACAATACAGCTTTCTCAGCCTTTGTCGATGTATACCTCGCTGTTTACCCAGCAATCATACTATTCCGCCTTCAGATGGCCACCAAGAAGAAAATTGCGCTTTCTTGTGCGCTAGGCATTGGCTCAATGTAAGATTCTTATCTCTTTCGGGAATTTTATAGCTCTAAATGACTTATGCGACTAATGACTTGAAGTTCCGGTATCGTTGCCATCTACAAGACGACTCGTATCCCATCTCTTGCTAGCAAAGATTTCTCATGTAGGGCTATGACTTTGCTGTCGAATTACTTCGATCCTACTAATCTCTTCCACGTAGACGATACCTCTGATCTGGTGATCTGGACAGTGTAAGTGTAGCCCCTTTTGAATATGTAATCAACTATATGAGGTTGACGGGAAGTAACGCCTTACTGACTTTGAACTCTTGTAGCGTCGAGGGCAGCACCATAATTATCGCAAGCTCAATACCTGTCATGCAGCCGCTTCTTGAGCTCATTCTCCGGCGCAATCCCTTCAGCTCGGCTAAGGGATCCAAACAAACGCCGCAATACTATGATGACTACGGCTCTCAGAGCAAGTCGAAATCTCGGGGAGGAGGCGGCATTGAGCTGGGACAGCGCAAGCCAAAGGTCAAACCGAAAGATGAACTTGGTCTTACCATCGTCGAGGGCGACAGCCAGGAGAACATCCTTACACCAACGACCAACGACCAGGGCATGTCCGCTTCTTCGGCGGCTCCAACTCTCACATCCAGGCAAAGTGACTCAAGTCAGCGTCCCTTTGACGGAAAGATAATCCGGACCGATTTCGTGAGCGTTACCTACGAGGAGCAAGGACCGGTCCGCGACATAACGGCTTCGAGCCGATGGAGGGCCGTCTGAGAGAACAATCGGATGTATGAACGTTGAACGATGGATCCTTTTTCGTGCGCCAGCTGGAGCCTCCGGCTGACTTTCTTAACGAAGACTTTGTTTTAGCTACTGTGGTAGAGCGACAGAAAGAGCAGGTATTATGATCTCATTGTATTTTTTAATCAAACGATTTGGTGCTCGATGATGTTCAACAATGGCTACTGGATTTTGCCTTGCAAAGCTTTGAGAATAATTTGGGCGTTGCGATTTTCCCCCACTAATTCAGACACCGTAGACAAGCCTGAGCAGACATGAAACTCGAAAAAGCCATATATGAACAGGCCTCGGTCCGTTTTGATTGTTCCACAACAGGGCTGTAATTTTCAAGCCATTCGAATCTACTTTCATTCCTTAAAGCCAGAGCATGTAATCTTATGTCTTCTTCTTGAGCAGCGTGTGCATCCCAGCCAGTCGGCTTCGATCGGCGATGACGTGCTACACCTCGCCGAGGCTACCGCTTCGGAACAAGAGTCTGGAAACTCCCGTGTGTACTCTGCACCGGAAGAAAGATAGAACCATCATATCATCTGTAATGAGGGATCGATGATTAGATGAGCAACTGGTGCCGAGTGCCGGAAGGGAGTGAGGGGCAATCGTAGGTTCGAAACGTTGGATCACGGCAGGCCGTTTTCGTCGAGGGCAAGCACAAAGCGGTACGGGCAAACCGAGCTTCCGTTAGGTGATTCGTACAGGAACGTTTCCTATGTCTCTGATTCCCGCCACCCATACTCGTCTTGTCTCACCCGTGCCCGGATTCGATGGTTTCGGAAGCACGGCGAAGCGGGGCCGTCACCGCGGTGGCCTCATGGGAAAATGCGGCTCGGATCCCGGGATCTATTCGGAGCTAGGGCGGAGCAAATCCAACCGGTACCTAGGCTTGATAAGTAGACTGTTGAGGACGAAAAATATCATAACTCGCAGATAGCTATCAAGGGCTAACTTCCCCCAGGTAAAAGAAGCTTAACTAAGTTTCCTTCCTTACTTGTCTTTGACGAGCTACATACTAAATCCAGTTATTGAGCAATTCGGTCCCAACTCATTGCGCTCCATGAAACTGAGCTTTATTCTCGGCGAAGTTTTTAAATGAAGCGAGAAGGATCTTGGCGGGAAATGCAGAATATTCCTCAGTAGAACACTGTCAAATAACGGGCTTTCAGCTAGAATTCTATGTTGGCTACATACATGACTTGGATAAACCGTACCGCTGATCCTTCTCTCCAGTGATTCCTATCTGATGAAAGGAGTTCGTACGTCCGTACTCATCAAAACATCGGAAAGTGCTGGTCTAGAACGGTTTCGCAGCGACTAGCCTGCCCTTCGGGTTCTCCCAGAAGCTAGTTCCCGTTTCGAGGGGGCCGAAGCCTGTCAACAATCTGACTGACCCACGTGCTGCCCCGGGCCTAGCCCACCGGATCGGTCTCAGCTCAGCCAATCTACACAGATGAGGACTGCAGCCAAATGGCTTAGCGTGAATGATCAGGGTAAAGCGGCCCAGTATGGTTGCCAATGTGGTGCAAAATGGCGCGGATCGCACAGACTGGTTCCGTAGGCACCGTACCGGCCCGTCAAATCGGCTGTACGAGTACGGACGAAACGGAGTGCGCGAAACGTGTGTGCGGAGTTTGGCTGTCTTTGAACCCTTTACTGCCTCTAGATAGGCTCATGGTGGCACCGGACCAAGACTTGTAAGGGCTCAGCGCATCTTCTGTTTCGTTTGAGAAACATTCACGGGCCGTTGTCTACGTCTTTTCGGCTTCCCGAGATCGAGCCCGATCCAGGAAGGGCTGCAAATAAGAAGCATACGATGATATGCTTTACCGGCGCTCTTTGAGTCTAAGAATGAATTCGGTGAGTGGGGCAAGGATGACAGATCTTAAAGCAGACGGTGACACGGTTGATCTTTTGCATCCAAGACAATACTCCACGTTGCGGGGGAAACAGCATGTCAGCCGACCAAGACACTCATCTCAGACCCCTGATGCAATGAATATACAGAAACCGCTTAGATGGCAATCTTTGCTCCAATTGATGTTCTCTCCCAATAGCGGTTAATATGGGCATTGTTTACCCGCAACCCAGCGAGTTCATACAAGCCATGTCCACATCGTTGTGCATCCCTTGGAGGGCGCCTGCCTTACCGTACTTGCGTCCTTGCAGCGCTTTCACGCATGTGCAAGAGGGTCGGCCGATGGGCGCGACGTTCAAGGACAAAGTTGAAGCACTTCCGAATCCGGACGATGGATTCGGTATCGTACGTATGTTTAGTTCGAAATCGGATAACGGAACCAGGGCTAGTATGATTCTCATCTCACGCTAGGAGTCAGTCTGTCTCAACTAGCCCATGCAGGCACTCAGCTCCCTCTTCATCCTCCTTTATAATTCCAGACGCCCACATTCTGGACGGGGCTCAACAGCGTGTGTGAAGATGTGACGATGGATGATGGCTCACTTTCCGACCCCAAAGGCGGTAACAATCATAGTATGTCAGATATCGGATCCTGAATTTCGGGACCTCAGAATCGGAACCTGAGCGCTGACCTTTCTGGCACAAACTTAGACGACGGGATGGGTTACCATCTTGACCGCCGGCGCAGTACTAGCTGCCTCTCTTCATCTCCGAATCAACATCCAGGGGAGGAAATTACAGATCAGCGATTACTTCCTATGCCTAGCGTGGTGCTCTGCAGTTGTGACTGCGTCATTCGATATCCAGTTTACAGTCATGGGCGCTTTGCATCAAAATATCAAAATCAATCTCGATGGATTCAAAGGAAACGACAACGAAGTTATGTTGATTATGAGAGTAAGAAAACACATCCCCTTTATCATCAAATTAGTTTAACTTACACTACATGCCTGAAAGTTGTTCTGGGCCAGCAGCATCCCATTCTTCACAACGTTTTACCTCTGTAAAGGAGCCCTTCTCGCCGTCTACATTCAGATATTCCCCATTTTCATGTACTATCGACGAATGATGTTGTGGACGGCTATAGTATACGTTGGGCTGGCGTACTTGGTCAGCATGATCCTGCTTTTCACTATCTGCCTGCCCCTTAGTAAGAACTGGTAGGTTTATCAGACAGCGAAGAAAACCTTTCCCGCTATTGAAACTAACTTCAGCTCTCTGTTAGGTCAGTCGAGGATCGGGTCGTGGGAACGGAAAATGTCATGTGCTCGGCCTCATCTCCCGCGATTGTCTTCCAAGTCGGCTGGGCATTGCATTTCTTCGGGGATATCTTGAGTAAGTACACACCCCGATCTTTCAGCTCGATGATTTTCTGACTGCCTACAAAGTTTTCTGCCTTCCTTGGCTTATATTACCTGATTTAAAGATCAAGAGAGCTCTCAAAATCGGCGTTTACTGTACTTTTGGTCTCGGCATCATCAACATGACCTTTTCTCTCGTCCGTTTCATCACCATTCAGACTGCATCGGTCGAGGCATTGCCATTTGGTTTAGTTGGTGAGTACTTAAACATGCTGCATGACTCTGTAGGCTTTTTGATAGACTTGTGCTGATGGCCGAGCCGCAGAACTTTGGAGCGAGCTAGACGTCAACATTGGCCTTTTAGTCGCGACATTACCATGCCTGAGACCGTACTTCCGATCGAACCGAAATGCTGGCTATTCGGACAAGTCTAACGCTTATAACTATAAATCGACGGTCAAGACACTGCAAATAACGCGCATGAGCAGATTTGATGTCGTCAGCGAGCCGGCGTACGACCTCAATGTCGACCTTGAGCATGTGGCAGCTTGCTCAACCACTACGCAATCACAGAAGTCTAGCGAGACGGTGTAGGATCCTGGAGATGCAGAGATTTAGAAGACAGCTTGATGATACCCCAGTGCCACCAAAAGGTAGGCCAGCATTTGAATAAGCGTGGTTAGGTAACGAGCATGAAGGTCAAATTGATTGAACTTCACCATCGGGGCGTTGCTAGACATAATAAATGTTTGATGACCAGTAATCACCAAAATTCCTACACAATCCAGTGCATGTACTCAATTGACGTGCTCCTTCTCTTCACTCCTTGGTATTCTAACGAAGCAAGCACATATCAAAGCGCCTGACAAAGCGGTCGCCAGGCTCAGCCACCAGATAGAACGCAGGGCCATTATATCTAGGGAACCCCCTGGCTGTTCGGTGATCTTTTCACCAATAGTGTCTCCCAATGCCGCGAGTACAGCGGTGGACAGGTTTTGCGCCGTGATAACCAGGCTCCCTGCAGCACCTTGGTACGATCTGGGCACGTTCGACGTGATGAACACGGAGACGGCTGCGAACGACATATCCGGTCCAAAAGTGCTTACGATGAAGCAGGGAAATGAGAGCGCCCAATAGAGTGTACTCGCTTGTTGAGGTAAGAAGAAAGCAGGGCCCGTGGCAAACGCAAGCATGCTTCCCATCATAATAACGTGTCCCGGTATTATGTGAAGCGTTCTGGATACAATCCACGACGCGAGGGTTCCGCTCACACCGATGGGGAGAAGATAACATGCGACAATGATGGGTGGCTTTTGCTGAATGGTAAGTATAAAGCGCACCGCATAGAATTGCCAGGCCCCTGCATAAGCACCGTATCCTAGAAAATAGGACAAGATTAAAGGAAAGAATCCAGGAGTTTTCCAAAGGCGATTGTCGACCAGCGGTCGTCGTACTCGGCTCTCAATGAGACCGAAGCTGGCTAAACAGGCAACTCCGATGATGACAAGGGTGTAAGTGTAAGGAGTCCAGTGCGTAGGCGATCCTTGAGTGAGACCAAAGATGAACAATCCACATCCAAGAATTGCTGCTGCAGCTCCGATGTAATCAAAGTCTTTCAAAGACAATGATTCATTGGGGAGAGAAGGGATACACCAGATAGCGGCGACCAGGCATACCAGAGACAGGACGGATGTGGACCCGAATATCCAAGGCAAATGTGTACTTAACGCACCGCCCTGTATGAACCCGATGGCAAACCCGAGGGGGATCATGGCACCCATCAAAGAAAATACTCGGTTCTTCCGTAGACCGGGATTGTAAACCCTCCCGAGCATGCTCATTGCCGTGGAGCAAAGGGTTCCAACTGCCAAGCCAGACATTGCTCGAGCGGCGAAGAATAGTATCATTCTGTCAGGTACAACAGAGAACGCACCGATGATGTTCCATAGAGAAAGCCAGATGAAGGCCGCACAGGTGAGCTGTTTCGGACTGATGAGATCTGCCAAGGAGCCCGAAATTACGACGGAAACTCCATTAGCGACGAGAAAGGAACCGATAAGCTATGGTGTATTGAGTGACGTCGTTTTCAGAGCGTTGATTAAAGTGATCTGGTTGACAAAAGTATGCGAGAGATGTATTGCAAATAGGAGCTGGCCCATAGAGCATATGCAGACGAATCCGATTTCTTCCGCGAAGGAGGCGAACTCTCGAGGGATGGCGGAGGCTTTTAGTCGACGGGTGATAGCTGATACTCGAGTTTCCGTCTCCATGCCACCGTCTATACGAGTAGAGGCAAGTTCCAGTGTATGGGGTTGGATGGATGTTACTGTGGTCGACATAACGAATGAAGTGCAATTATGACAAGAAGTTCCTAGTCAAAATTGGCCGCGAAGAGCTTAGTATGTATTTCCAGGCAGGCTGGGATTCTTCAATGGACTGAAGCCTTTCTTATTGGAGATCATGTCTCTTAGATTCCAAATCTGATTTATCAGCCATGGTAGATTACAAATCGTGTTTTCTATTAACAATCCGGAAGAAAAACCCAGGTGACGTAGAGATGGGGCTCAAAAGCCGAAATCGCGGCCGGCTACTCGGTCTCTTGAGTACGCGCTTTGGACCACCACCATAAAGCCGAAGTCATGTTTACACGAAGAACTATATCAAATAGAATTTGATTATTCAAAAAGCTGTAAATGCGGTAGGATATCAGGTTGATGCTAATGGTTTGGAATAGGGTTGATCAAACTGGTCACCAGTAAGGGCGAGACAAACGCGCTCAGAAAGCATTGCAACCAAGGTAAGATGTAAGCAATCGTTTGAATATATTGTAATACTAATTACATAATTCTATATTTAAGGTCAATTGACCCCCAGCCTCAGACTCTCGGCTCTTCTTTCAAATAGCTCAGTCGCGAATGCATGACCCTGCCGTCCTTCACAACAGCCAGTATAGACTCCTGAGACTTGTCCAGGATTGTGATATCATCCAGAGGGTTACGATCTAGAATCAGCAAATCTGCCATGAATCCTTCCTTGACCTGGCCTAGCTTGTTTTCTTGGCCAAGTAACTTGGCGGCATTGATAGTGGCGCTTTGCAGAATCTGAAGAGATGTCTGGACTTGACTACGAATAGAGAACTCTTTCGACTGAGCGAAGTGAGTTGGGCCCAGCAGATCTGTTCCGAAACAGACTGTGACACCGACCTCAGTTGCCATCTTGAGTGTAACTAAGCCCTGTTCGAGTACAGTGGTGACTTTGGCTTCTGACTCAGCATCGAGGAAATGTGACTCCTTTGATACGAAGTGAGTCACAAGCGTCGGCGTGAGAAATGTCCCCGTCTTCGCCATCAATTTTGCAGTTTCGAGATCGATTAGGTTGCCGTGTTCAATACCCCTGACGCCCTGGTTGATGGCCTGTGTCACTGCTTCTGTGGTATAGCAGTGACTTGTGACATATGTCTTTGCATTATTTGCGACCGTGACTATAGCCTTGATTTCGTCGTCAGAGAACTGGAGCTGGTCGATGCGGTCAGTTGGACTAGCAACACCGCCGCCGCCCATGATCTTAATGAAGTCTGCACCTTGGCGCAACTCGTCTCTCGCAACACGGTAGCATTCCGGCACCCCATCAACGATTCGACTGATGCCTGACACAGCGCCGCCGCAGCAGGGGATGGTGTCGTGCCGCCCTCTCATGTCTCCGTGGCCGCCAGTCTGGGATAGAGCCTTTCCAGAAATGAAGAGGCGCGGACCCGGATAGATGCCCTCTTCAACGGCCTCTTTCATAGCGAGAGTTGCGCCACCGCAGTCTCTGATAGTAGTGAACCCGCGCTGGAGCATTGACTTCAGAACACTAGGCTGCCGCAAAAGACTTTTGGTCTCCGTCATGTCTCGGTACGACGACAGACTGGCTGCGCCTGGCGTAACTGCGATGTGGACATGGCAGTCAATCAGACCGGGGCAAACATATTTTCCCTTAAGATCGATGATGTTTTCTGTCTTGATCTCAACTCCATCTGGCTTTGCTGGCTCCCCTGCTTCAACGGAAATAATCTTGCCGGCGGACAGGGCGATGGTGGCATTGCTGCTGATCGATCCATGAACAGGGTCAACAATTCTGCAATTTTGCAAAAGGTACGGTTGCTGCGGATCAAGCTTCCACGGAGTGATGTACTTCGACATGTCCAGACCAGAAGTCTCGGGTTTTGATTGTGTGGTGACCATTGTGGTGTGAGAATTGGCGGACAGATTTTGATCAGGTTAATGCATGCACATGTCTGACTGTAAGTTACTCACGGAGAGACATAGATATACATTTTGGTGCGCTTGCCATCCACCACGGACACATGATACCAAGAAAACATGACACGAATCAAAGTATGAAAACGTCACAGGCGGTTGGGACGGAAACGATTATGGGCGTTCAAATGATGCGACTTCCGGTGAGCAGGCGATATTGAACAATCCGGAAGAAAATCAGGCAAGGCGGATGTTGAGACATTCCGTATGCGGCTTGAGAATTTCGTGGTGTGGACACTTCCTCACCGGCGAACATAGGACGCATGCGGCGACACACATGGTCTGACTTCAAGACCCGCTCGCCGAATGCCATGTTAAGTTAGCGTGCTATATGCAAGAATACGAAAGCGTTCCCGTTCAGCTCGAACCTCGAGTGATCTCCTCGGATACCAGTACTACATTGGTGAAATGCCGTTTTTCAAGCACCGGTTTGGCCAGACCGTTAGGGCTGGACCATGGTGCTGATTCAGTGATTTCGATCTTCCGGGTACATTTTCATATACCGTGGGCGAGATGCCGTTGGGCAGGTGCCAATTGGAGGTGACTAAAAAGTAACAAAAGATGCATCGTCACCTACCTTGTCATGTGAGATGTGGTGTATGCTCCAAAAGGCCTTGTTCAGTCTAAGCGGGGCGATGGCGGACTTTTGACGGGTCAGCGCAACCGGGCATTCATCAGCTTACGTCTGTGACGTTTCACGTGCAGAGAAAACAGTCCTTTTACTAAACGAGTCCAGGTGCGTTTGAAAAATCTCGTCAATAGCGAGGGTTTGGCCTGAATGAGGGATACTGCTAGCAATATAAATGTCAATTAACCATGGTTGCAAATGACAATATGTACAAATCAGTAGTCTTATGTGATGGCCTAGACTGAATCTCGAGAGACAAACAACATGACGTTTTGTCTTGAAAGAATGCAAACACAAATCTATACGTCAGTGCCATTCGTCAGAACGGCCGTCTTTAATCTATCTGAGCAACTCGGCAATAGCCAAACAACTTGTTGGGCGCTAAGACAATCGAAGGGATGTACAAAAGAAATGTGATCGTCACTAGGACATCGGTTCACTAATTACAAGCGAACACCGGCTTGACCGATGACAGCCTGACAGGGCCATCAACCACTTGCACGGAAGACCGGCATGGAAAAGAAGAAATAGGCTAGACCCGAAGACATGGCATTGAAGCAGCCCTGTCTCTTTTCACAATAGGTTCCCACAACGCGATCCGTCCACGTGGGATCCGAAGTGGAATTCTGCTCACCAACAGGCCGTGCAATCTGAAATACGGCACCGCCCGCAATATCGCGACTCATGTCCACTACCCACTCCGGTCCAGACTCACGGCCAGTTACCATCCCTTTGGGTTAGCATCGACTATTTAGTGAAACGTTGAACTTTAAAGCTCCCAATTGGCACCCTCTTCCACCAAGGAGAAATCCAAAGTCGGCAACAAACCGTACGACGCGGATATAAGGCCCCTTAACAGTATGACACCTGTAAATTAATGCAGGTAGCCGGGGAGCCGACGAAGCACAGGCCGCTGCTAGTATAGAGTAAGAGGAAGAACAGGCCCTTCGTGAACCTCTGTGGCTCCCTTTCCCGATCGCGTTTCCGCTTGCTCCGCGCTCCTAGCGCTACTTTGACGAATTAGAGGGCAGAATTCCCCCATGTAGTTTCACAAAGCAGAGGAAGGGGGGCTGTTATTGCTGAGTGGCGGGTTTCTGATAAGTTGCAAGAGCCATTAGTCTCCAGGAATGATACCCTAAAGAGTTTGCCATTCGGGTGAAATAGATTAAGGAACTCAGTATTGTTTCTTTTGTGGGATGCCGCATGGCTGTCAGTATGTCAGCCCATCCCTTGAGACCTTCTTCATTTGGTTGCGTGCTTTAAAGTGATTGTGACAAGCATCGTGGGCTTCCTGGTATAAATCACGCTGGTGTTCCTACGATCTCTCCCCAATCAGTCTTCCATTCAGTCCGTCCTCACTTAACTTCCAAGATCATTCCCTCCATCCATCAATATGCACGGTATTATTTCTCTCGGCGCGGCCCTTGCCGTCATGATTCAAGGCACCGCCGCTGCCACGAGCGCTGTTGCAACTTGGTATGGTGGAAACCTGAACGGGGGTAACTGCCTGTTTTCCGGTTACACGTTGCCATCAAGTGTCCTGGGTACTGCCTTGTCCTATACCAACTACAACGGAAACTGCGGTACTTGCCTCAATGTTAAGGGACCCAAGGGTAACACCATCAAGGTTATGGTGAGAATCAACAAAGTCTTTCAATCACATCTACGGGCCATTTTAACTCGAAATCAGGTCGTCGACAAGTGCCCCTCAGGTTGCGGAAACGGCCAACTCGATCTCTTCCCCGATGCTTTCGCCAAGCTCGACGATCCCAACAAGGGACAGATCAGCGTCTCATGGGAGCAGGTTCCTTGCGGCATCACCTCACCCTTGATCGTCCGAAACAAGGAAGGAACATCGAAGTATTGGTATGTGTCTTTGATCACGGCAGTGACCCAGATAGTCTGACTTACATAACTCCTAGGTTCTCCATGCAAGTTGTGAACCACAACTACCCAGTCACTAAGTTCGAAGTCAGTACCGATAGCGGCAAGAGCTGGCAGCCGACCGTCCGTCAAGACTACAACTACTGGCAGAAGAGCAGTGGTGACGGCTTCCTCGTGGACACTGTTAGCGTCCGCGTCACCTGCTCCAACGGTAAGCAGGTCGTCGTAAACAAAGTTGGTACCAAAGAGAAGGCCTCATTCACTGCATCGGGAAATTGTTAGAAAGGGATCATTGAACAGCCTGCCTCAGGAAATATTCTATTTCCGTACCCCTGGGCTCGGCGCGTTTCTTTGATTGACGCACCACGACTCCTCGGTGGGAAATTTTGTACATAGCCTTCACTTCTTGCACATAATTTGACAGTACATACCTTTCGAATGACATCATCATCTTTGGAATGTTTGGCAATTTAGATCACTTTTGGGTACTTTGTCTTTCTATTTTGTTACGTGGTCTCTGCCCCCTACGCATGTATAGCATTCACTCGCTTGGATAGTGGGAGACAAACTCTTAAGGCCTTGTAAACAATGTAAGCGGTCTACCATACTTACTATTACATCAACTGTTCTGTCCTGTTAAAGCACAAACCAAGCAAGGATAATTGATCTATAATTTCTAGGTTTTCCTTTGCCCAAATCCTTTGCCCTAGGTAAGAGAGTTTAGGTTTGGAAGATATCACGTAGATACGGATGAGAGCTTTTTTTTCAGACTCCAGCCTGTCAACGAGAGTGGTACTGAGATAGGAGGTAATTCATTGCAATGTCTTACTCGCAACTCAATAATATCAAACGGAGAGGCCATGGCAAATGGTCATTTGTTGCTGCGTTTTCAGTGCTTATAAGCGTGTATCGTGCCGTCAAAGCCATGTTCAGTAGGGTAGGTAGTCTATGCTGCCTTGCTTTAGCAAACGGGTGAACAAAATTTGCTTCGTCGTGAACGGAGAAACCCTGATGCCGTGACTCTGCTCTGAGCCATAGCATCGGTAGAGTGGCCAGTTACAGTCAACTGTGGCTGGAGTGCAGGCGGGCCAGGAAGCCGAGTGAAGGAGCAAACTTCGGCCCAGTGAGCCGAGCCGAGGGGCCCGACTGTGCTCCGCACTATCGGTTTATCAAGCAGTGGGAAGAAGATAAAGGTCTGATTCTAGTCAAAGCCGAATAAAACCAATAAACAAGTATTTCAGAGGCAAACAGAATGACACATTCAATTAGGGAGAAAGTAAAATCAAGCCTTAATTGAGCGGGGATCCTGGCTTTGGGAGAATTGCTTCTGACTTGTTCAGAGCACGTTAAGGTGCGCCACAATCATTACTGTGGCTGGAGTTGGAGGTGCAATCGACATGTCTCCGCACCTCATTCCATCTCAAGATTGACAATTACAAGACTTCAACGAGCGACACTAGACAACATAGGGGAAATGTCCCCATGAGACCTTCTTGTGAATAATTGAAATTACCGATGTAATGGCTGGCGAAGGCGAGAGTCCAAGTAGCTCAGCCGAGCAAGAAGCTGAGACGGCAAACTCTGTCCCGCGCGGCAAGCGGGCGAGCAACGCGTGAGTGTAGTAACCTCCGGGCTCAGCGTCCTCGGATGTGAGAGCAGATATCAGTCAATCGGATTCTAATGGTAATTCAAGGTGTACGCGGTGCCGTGAGCGAAAGGTGAAGTGCTCGGGCTCATTACCGTGTGCAAATTGCCTGCGAAAGTCGGTGGAGTGCATCTTTGATAGAGAAGATCGGAAGGTTGTCGTATCCGAGAGGTAATCCAGGCCCGCTATTACGTGTTTTTTAATTGAAGCCTAAGATCTAACTATCTCAAGGTTTCTTAACGAGTTGAAACGCAAATCGGGATATGGCGTCGAAGGGGAAATATCGACTTCACCGACAGCGAAGCGACCTCGACGTCATCGATCGACGTCGCCTGCCGATGCTGGCTTTCGTGATGGTAAGCCTTCATCTTGTATCGCGTTACTTAGTGTGATTTCACTTATCATAATAATTGATCCATGTAGTGGTCAATGAAAGAACAGCACCAGTGTTGATAGAGATCAGCCACGGAGCCTCGCCGCCGGCACGTAGTTTCAATCTCGACGACAGCACGACTGTCGTCGGCGGTGAGGATTACCCCGAAGAACGCCGTGGTTTCTCGAATATGCGGAATCCGTTAGCGAGCGAACCATCAAAGTTTCTCACAGATGCAACAGGCAGAAGGCGTGAGTAACTACTTGGCGTCATTATTGCTTTTTCCAATCTAAATGGCGTACAGGATGGCTTGGGCCTTCATCAACTTGGGCCTACAGTCGACAGGTACTCAATATGATTCAGGGGCATCTCGGCCAACACGAATCTCCAGAGGTCCCTCTCAATGTTGACGCTGAAGCATTTAAGTTGGACTGGCCTTCGTCTAGAGGCATCACCCCGCAAGTCACAGTTGACATCCCCTCCCTAGACTATGCTCTCTATCTCACAAATACGGTCAAGTTTCATCTTGGGCAGACCTACCATCTCTTCGACGAGGAAAGCTTCATGACTGGGCTTTACGACCTCTACAGAACAGGACTGAGGCTGGAACCGACTGCAGATTCTAGATTGTGGTATATCCAGTTTCTGATCATCATGGCTTTCGGGAAGGCTCTTTTAGTCCCTGGAAACCCAAATCAGACCCCTCCTGGGAGTAGTTTGGTGACGAGGGCTCTCGAGCTGCTTCCCGATGTACATGGACTATATCAAGACCCTGTTCTGTCCGTAGAGATACTATGTGGTCTGGCTTTATACTTGCAGTCAGTAGACCACAGGAACAGCGCTTATACCTACGTGGGTTGATGATCAGCCTCTATTCACTTGCCGGGCTTTTTGCTGATTCAAGTAGATCGGCCAAGCATTTCGTATTGCCATTTCGCAGGGCTTACACCGAGAACCGTTAAGAAACCAACTTAACGACAGTGAGGCTAACAGACTCCGCTGTGTCTGGTGGACTCTGTATATCTTAGACCGCAAGATGTCATCCCTTATGGGCGCTCCCAATTCGATACAAGATAGCGACATCACCGTTCAACTGCCAAGATCAGACCCGGTTGTTCACAAGTATAAGGCACTCGGAATACACGTTGTCTTGTCTCAACTGCTTGCCAAGGTTTTGAATAGTGAGTTTGGAGAGCTCACATGCAGGATTGGGACTCTCTAACCGAGATATAGCTGTGTATGGCGCAGACGGAAAACTTGACCCCTCCTTTCTGAAGAGTGTTCAGGCAGTTTTAAGAGACATGGTAAGGCTAGCGCCTCAGCTAACGGCCGGGTTCGAGTTCAAGTTCAACAACTCTGAACCTGCGTCCAGGGTTTCCGCTACACTTAACTTGTGTTATCACCAGGTAAATGAAGATCGAGAACCTTGCTTAATATCTGGTAGCTGACTATCTCAAGTGTGTCGTTCTTGCCACACGCCCAATCCTCATGTGTCTCTTACAAGACGTTCTAAAAAGGCGAGGAAATTTGAACAGAGGCCTAGCGAGCCCAATCAAAGCACTCTTAAAGACATCGTCAGACTCAGCAAACAAATCACTTCGGATTCTATCAACACTACATTCACAGCACCTACTAGGTAAGCCGACATATGATTTACTAACGGTCATCAAATGGACTGACATGCTAGCCAGAGTCTTTCCTCCCCTTTGACTTAGAGCAGGCGTTCTCATCGGCTTTCGTCCTGACTTTGATGACCTCCATGCCTGGTCTCTCCGAACGAGATAACAACTATATGCAAACTACGACTAACATACTCGATACGATGATTGCGCGCGGTAACGTTGTGGCTCGCTGCCGGAAGGAAGAGCTCGAAAAGCTCCAAGAGATGCTGTGTCTCGCTCAACGTCAACTCCACGCTCCACCGTCAGTTGCCGGTGACGGTAGCAGCAGCATGCAGATTGAGAATCAGTCTTCACTGCGCAAAAACGCTCGAGACCTGTCATCATCGACTGAACAATCCATAGAGGCCGGCCCGGCTACTGGCAGCACAACAAATGGGCTCGCTTCAGAACAAATGCTGTCCATAGCGGGCTTGCTCGATTGGGAACCGAACATAACCGCTTTCGACGACGATCAGCTCGCGGGGAGTTGGTTATGGACCGAGGCGATTGCCCCAGATTTTGATTTTAGCGGGGGCTTGCTATAATTGACTAATAGGATATCAGACTGGCCCTCGGATGTGTGCTTCCGAGATCAGGTCTGGAGGACTCAAGACAGCTTACTAAACTAAGCTTACTGAGGAAAGACACGCCTCATAGAGAGAGGGTCGGATTCGCAGATAGAGACAATCTAATCCCGCGGGGTAATCGTCCCATCGATGACGGCCAACAATCGGCTTCAACACGTAGCCCCATATGCAAGTTCTAATGTAGTGAAGGCGCCAGGAGAAACCTTGCAACAAGCCCACATTGGATGGCGAAACTCTTATCAACTAAACTTGAACAAGACTCCGCGACATTCCAGGTCTCCAGATAGGGGTTTGGCCGAGTCAGTTGACTATCTGATACCAGCTTGCGGGTTGACAATCCGAGGGTTTCTCCCCGCGTTTTCGACGTCTCGGGACCCACTCCCGAATCGCTTCCCCGGACCCACGGACTCGAGATAGTGACCAAGACTGGGGTGTCAAGGACTTGTCTGGAAGTTGACTAAAGTCATGGCACCGATTATAAGACTTTGATATGACACTGGCTGTTCCGGCCTGGTGCTTCGGGGCTCGTAGTGAAGCAGGAGCTGGTAAAGTTGGATAAACTCTTTGGGTCTCTGTCGAGAAATAGCACCCCAGCAATTTGGATGTTGTCATTCTTGCAGCAGTCGACACGCCAACTCTAACAGCTCAACTTCAGACAAGTCAACGATGGACCAAGAGAAGATGGAACCTGCGGGCTTGGAGAACCTGTCCCATCAACAAAGTGCGAAGATCGGCCAAGTTGAAGATCCATACATCCAGCCCGGCCATGAACTTCACAAACGTCTCGAAACGCGCCATGTCACGATGATTGCGCTGGGCGGTGCGCTTGGAACAGGATTGCTGATTGGAACGTAAGCTGTCTCCCCATACGAAAACTACCGTCCTGGCGTTTATTCTAACTCACCAATTTACAGAGGCTCGGCTCTAGTCAAGGCAGGCCCAGCCGGCATCCTCGTCGACTACTCCATCGTCGGCTGCATCGTCTTCCTCGTCATGGCCGCTCTCGGCGAAATCATCTCCTACATGCCCCTGTCCCACGGTTTCGGTGGCTACGCGACCCGCTTCGTCGACCCGGCCCTCGGTTTCGCGACAGGCTACTGCTACTTCTTCAAGTATCTCCTCGCCACGCCTAACCAGCTCTCCGCCTTTGCCCTGATCATGAAGTTCTGGGTAGGGGACCGCGTCAACCCGGCCGTCTTCATTACCATCGCCCTGGTTCTGATTCTCTTGATCAACAGCATCAGCGTCAAGGCCTTTGGCGAGTTCGAGTTCTGGCTCTCGTCTCTGAAAGTTATAATCATGATTGGCGTCATCTTGCTGCTCTTCATCCTCGCCGTGGGCGGCGGACCCACCGGTGACCGTCCTGGCTTCAGATACTGGTCCGATCCGGGTGCTTTTGCCGAGTATAAGGTCGATGGTGCCCAGGGCCGTCTTCTCGGGGTCTGGAGCGCCATGGTGGCCGCCGTATACGCCTTCTCCGGTACGGAACTCGTCGGCGTCACAGTCGGCGAGGCCAAGAACCCGCGTCTGTGCATGCCAAAGGCTGTTCGCCTGACCTTCATGCGCATCGTATTCTTCTACATCATCTCCGTCTTCCTGCTGGGCATGGTTGTCCCTTACAATAGCGCCGAGCTCGTATTTGCAGCCAAAGCCAAGACCAGTGCTGCAGCCTCGCCGTTTGTGGTTGCCATCACGATTGCCAAGATTAAAGGGCTCGATCATGTCATCAATGGTTGTCTTGTGGTGTTTATTTTCTCGGCTGCCAACTCGGACATTTACATCTCGTCTCGTACGCTCTACGGTATCGCGGTCGACGGCAAAGCGCCTCGCATCTTTTCCAAGACTACCAAGGCCGGCGTGCCTTTTGTGGCTTTGGGTCTGTGTGGTGTCTTCTGCTGTCTGGCGTACATGTCTGTCAGCTCCGGTGCCGCAACCGTCTTTGGCTACCTGACGAACGTCGTCACCGTCTTTGGTGAGTCTGTCTCAATGTTTGAATACATTGGCCAACACTAACGCGTACCATAGGTCTGCTTACATGGATGTCCATCCTCGTCTCCCACATATTCTTCTGCCGCGCCCGAACAGCCCAACGAATCGATGCCGCATATATTCCCTACCGCGCTCCTCTGGGCGCTTGGGGTTCCTATGCCGCCCTCGGCTTCCTCATTGTCCTGACCTTGACTAAGGGTATCGAAGTGTTCGTCGGCACTTTTGACTACAAGAACTTTATCGTTCAATACATTGGAATCCCTGTCTACCTAATTTGCATTTTTGGGTACAAGATCTTCAAAAAATCCCATTGCGTTCGGGCTGAGACAGCCGACTTGGTCACGGGCGTGCCAGAGGAGACTGTTGCTGAGGAGAGAGCAGTAGTCGAAGCAGAAAGAAGGGAAAAGGAGGTAGCAATGGGGAAGAAGAGCGTATTTGCTAAGGTCTATCGCAAGGGGTTCTCATGGTTATTCTAAGATGAGTCGATGACCTGGACTACGAGACCTAAGGCGATACATTACGCATTACATATAGTCAGAAGCATCGTTTGAGCAAGTCGAATCTTCCAAAGCGATCTGTTCGTTTTGTATATGGGACACTTATGTGAGCAAGTTCCCTCATCGATCTCTCCACCCATCTAGATCGGATGCTCAATCACAACTTTCTCCAACGAAGCACCGCCATATGCCACTCTCTGGATCTCCTGTAAGCCGGCTTCGCCACCCTTGACGACTGTAATGTTCGGGTGCTTCGGGGCCCTTTCAGCAGAGCCCAGAACATATTCCATGACCTTACGCACGCGAGTCGGAAATTCAGGGTCTTGCGGGTGTCCCATGGCACCGATGCTACCAACGGGCCGATAGCACGTGCAGAAACCGAAAGCCGGATCGTGAGCTACGGGTTGCGTGCACACAAGCTTGACAGATATTTCCTCGGCACCTTTGGACAAGCTCCTGCGAAGAAGCGTCGGCGTAGACGTCTCAGAGTCGGCGTTGGGGCCATGAAGGCCACTGCCAACAGTATCGAAGCCGAAAGTCAGGCTCACGCCGAGGGACTTGGCAGCAGCGCGAATATCGCCAGTCACATCGGGGCTCTTATAGTCGAAGCAGTGAGTAGCCCCGAGCAGCTGTAGCGCGGCGTGGTTCTTGACGGACGCAGTCGTGAAGATGGGATTGAACCCTGCCGCCTTGGCAAGCTGGATGGCTGCGATGCCAACGCTGCTGGCGCCGCCCCAAATCAGTATCGGCTTGTCGGTACCACCAGTCCCGGTGACGCCCGCGGCGGGAAAGGCGAAACCGAGAACGTTGAAGATGGCGTCGGCGGCGGTCTGCGTCGTGAGAGCCAGGCCTCCGGCGTCTTTGAGAGCGAGGCCATGAGGCAGCTTGAAGGTGAGATTACTTTCGACGATGGCCTTGTCTTGATGCGTGCAAGCCGGAGACTTTTGGGGAAACCCGACGGGCGAGATTCCAAGGACGGCGTCTCCGACTTGCAGGGCCGATTCGGATCCGACTGCCTCGACGATGCCGGCGAACTCAAAGCCCGTGACGAAGGAGTTGAGGCCAACGTGGAAGAAGTTAAGATCGCAGGGGTTGATGCCCGAGTACTTTATTGAGACAAGAGCTTGGAGTTTTTGAGGTGTGTAGTCTTCCGTGACTTGCTTGATGGTGAGTTGGCCATCGGCACCTAAGTAAATTGAGCGAAACATTTTCTTGTAAGTTGTTGTTCTTGGTGATGTCGACAGCTTAGCTCATCGAAACATTAGCCTCTCGAAGGATGGTGAGATTTTATATCTGACGATTCAATAATTAAACGGCATATGAAAGAGCACCGATGGCTCGGCCTGGACATTACATCGGGCCGCGACCATCGGCGGTCTACACCATTGATGTCCGCTTCCATCGGGATTATGAAAGAATGTTGTCGTTGCACCGAACAACCCATGGCACCGGACTTAAGAACGTGCTGGGGTGTGCGAAAAGGCGGGGAATAGATTGAGTTTGTCTGTGTGATCAATCAGTCGAAAATGAAGAACCTTGGACAAGGCCGGAAGACAGACGGTACTGCGGCCATCCGGAGCTACCCGGGAAGCTCATCCGGAGTAGCCCTTCGCTTCAACGCCGGTACTTTCGGCGTCCGTAGCTAAAGATAGGCTAGAGGACTTGCGCACGGCATGATTAGACTCAGCTTGACGTTCAACTTTCAGTTAACTCTGTATTTTGTTCATTGGATGGTTATTTGGTTGACACCCTCTGCATCAGAAGATCATGTTCTACACCCGGTTGGCAATCGCCAAGAAAATAGAGTTTTTAGCCCATGCAATCTTACAATACCTAATGGAGAGACTTTTCCTTTGAACTGACAATTGTTGGCTGTTGCTATACGCCTGCTTCTTCAACAAGTGGCACCGAGCAACCGACGAGCTCCACCAGTTGACAGAGCTCAGGCTTGCAACCAAATGGCAGAGTCGATTTTTGACATCATCAAAAAGGCGAAGAAGACCCTCTTGTCGCGAAGTGGGCTATAGGTTGTTTACTTTCGTACAATTATTTAACTAGGGTATCTACGGGGTTGAATAATCATCACCAATATGGCAATTTCAACTTGCAAGTTCTTCATCTCCATCACCAAAGTTCAACAGACCAAATCAAATTCTCTTCGCCCCCCCCCCCCACCCCCCGATTTCGTGTTTTGACATCCGTAGTCTTGTCAATCGAGCTGTATGCCTAGAGCACAGCCCACGTTCGAGTTCTGCACACCTTGTAGATCAGGATCAAGCACTCGGAGTCTGTTGCTTTTCCGCGACAGGCGGTGCAACAGGCGCATACTGTGATGGCACGAGACCGCCTCCGGGTTGCGGCGAAAAGACTTGAATTGTCCCGTCGTACGGCCTCGTGGCGACCTTGTTCTTGCAGTTTGAGCAAGTGTAGTGCATGTCCTCGCACCACCCCGCGATGCAGGGCACGCATGTGAGGCAGATGCAGAGGAGGCAGCACAGAGCACCGGCAACCCTGGGGAATTGCGCGTGTAAGCTAGGCTGGTTCATTTTATGCTTCCATATAATCAAAATGACTTACATTTGCATGGCAGTGCCTTCTTTAGCAATGACCGTCTGGGTCCGCTGTTTGCAAAAGGGGCAATCTATCCATTGCGGCTCGTCGCCCAGCATGTGCAGCGGCGTGACGGTCGCAGGGTTTGCGAGGGGAGTGATTGTCGGCCCACCCTTTTGTTGAGCGGGCATTGGTGTTGCCGGTTGTCTGCCCCGATCATCAGTATTTTCAAAGAAGATGACGGTGTTCTAAGAGAGACTTACTCGAGCTGCACTAGGTTCGCTGGCATCTCTCTGGCAGGGGCAGGACCGCTTCCTTGCACAGTAGACGTAACTGGTGATTCTCTCTCATAGGCTGGCGCCGGCTCTTGGACGTCGATCGCCGGGGGAGGGGCAGTCTTTTGTTCCGACATCTTTGATTTTGAGGTCTGCTTAGTGGTGTAAGATGACAAAATGATGAATTGTTGGGGTATCACGGCTGTACGGTCTGTAAGTCACTACGAATGACTTGGAGAATTGAGGAAAAGGTAAAGGAAGCTAGATCAATGTTGAACGGAGAGACTCAAGCTGGAGACGATAAAATACAGACTTTTGAATGACGAGCACGTGTTCTTTTTTCAGTTCATGTAAAACTCTCCCTCCAGGTAAGATTGCCTCTAATACGCGTGAGCACTACCAAGGTGTCACTAACAGCGGCACAGCATCACAGGAATCCACAATCAGGCAGAACCGTAGCATTGACAACGATCGCCATTGGTGCTTACGGGAATAGAATCGCTTGGCAGGGGACAGAATGTCTCTTCCAGGTCGCCCCCCAAGGCTCTACAAGTTGGTGTGGGCGGCGCAGCCCTACAACCAGGGCGATTGCGCCTCATGTGTGAAATGTGAGGGTTGTGCCGTTGTGGTTACGAGGGGTAGAGCTGAGAGACACCCCGGGAATCTTACACCCACGCGCTTGGGATGACCAGGTGATAGGTGGTCTTACCTGCCTAATGCAGTTTCTATGGCGAAGCAATATCCGATGTTACACCACTTGCTCCCGTCCCCCATAATAATAGAGCAGGGGGAGCAGACATGACGATCAGATAGCCCAGCCTTACTTCGACTTCATGAATCCAATGACTTTGCTGACACAGCCACTTTCTTATGCACTAGCACTCCTCTGAACCTCATCATTACTTTTATTCAATGATTCAAAGTCGGTCCATTGATGTAGCTGAGAGTCCATGATCAAAAAATGTTGATGTAGTCTCGCCAACCCACTGGCCTCTTTGAAAGTCACCCCAGATGGACTGAGCATCCAGAATTCCAACATCGAGTTGCCATCGCAAGCTCAAGATGCGCTTAATCAAAGCTTCATCCATACATAGCAACAACCTGCAACTCGTCGACTTCAACCCCGATCAGCTTCCCCGGTACGCCATTCTCTCGCACACCTGGGGCGACAACGAAGTCATCTACGTCGATATTAGAAACGAAAATGCCGCCACTAAGCCCGCTTTCCAAAAGGTCCGCTATAGCTGCATCCAAACCCTGGCAGACGGCCTCGAATACGTCTGGATCGACTCATGCTGCATCGACAAGAGCAGCAGCGCAGAGCTTTCCGAGGCCATTAACTCCATGTACGAGTGGTACATGAAGTCAGAAGTCTGCTACACTTACCTCTCAGGCGTTCCCGCCACCGTAGACCCAGTCAAGACGGATGGCGCGTTTGCCTCGTGCCGGTGGTTCACGCGCGGCTGGACGCTCCAGGAACTCCTCGCCCCGGCCGAGATGGTCTTCTTCTCCGAAGACTGGGTGAAAGTCGGCGAGAAGACGACGCTGAGCAAGCCACTCTCCGTCATCACGGGCATAGACGAAGACATCCTCACCGGCCTCAGACCCCTCGAGTCAGCGAGCCTCGCCAAACGCATGTCCTGGGCCGCGCACCGGCAGACGACGAGGCCAGAGGATGTCGCCTACTGCCTGATGGGCCTCTTTGGCGTCAACATGCCCATGCTCTACGGCGAAGGCGATCGCGCCTTCCTCCGCCTCCAAGAGGAGATCATGAAGCAGTCCGACGACCAGTCCCTCTTTGCCTGGGTCGACCTCAGCGCCTCGACCGAGACCTACCACGGCCTGCTGGCCAAATCGCCCGTCAACTTCGCCTACTCCAATTCCATCATGCCCTACCAGGACTGGGAGCCGCGGCCGCCGTACTTCATGAGCAACCGCGGCCTGCGCATCGATTTACCCCTGACGCTGCGCGACCAAGACATCTTCGTCGCCGCGCTCGACTGTCCCGCGCCGCCAGATTACGAGGATTCAACTTTCCTCGCAATCTACCTCAGAAAGATTTCTAGCGGCGGGGACCAGCAATTCGCCCGCGTGCAGGTGAACCAGTTCGCCAAAGTCCAGGAGCGTGGGAATAAGCAGACGCTCTACGTACGGCAGACGTTCAACGGCGTTGCGGACGCGGAGGGCGTGTTCCCGCAGCACATTGTCCAACTCCGAAGGGGTCCGCCGCGGGACCAGTACTCGGTACTGAATCTCGTGCACTCCAAGGAGGCCGATAGAGGGGACCGGCCTGCGGCGTGCACGTCGAGCAGGGGCTCCGGAAGGGACTTGATACATACGGCGACGGGGAAGACGATTGCCTTTCGCATCCCGAAGGCGGCGGGCCAGCTCGCCGGGGCCATCACATTCGCGCGGACGGACGGGTCCCGGCTGCTCGTCATGTTCGGATCCACGGACGGCATCCGAGCCGGGTTCCACGCCCGCGAGCTACCGCCTCGTTTCCCGGGCATGAGTCAGAACCAGAACCAGGCAAAGACGAAGAGCTCATCGAACGCAAAAGAAAACCAGCAACAAGAACCGCCAGAAGTCACATTTTCATTCGACGACTTGCAACAGATGTTCCGGCCGACGCCAGCGGGCGTCGACGTCGAGCTGGAGCGGTTCCGGGTGCGCGTGGACGTGGAGACGGTGATTGCAAACGCGAGCAAGTACCTCATGGCCGACGTGCTCATCGAGCCCGTCAATCGGCCGTGGGACCCGTTTGAGCCGCTGGATGCGGCTCTCGGGTGGTACGAGGGGGCGACGGGGCGGCAGAATCGAGGGCAGGCTGCCGCTGCTCAAGCGGCGACGGCGCAAGTTGCGGCCACTAATAGTACTAGTGGGAAAACAAAAAGAGCTTCTTCCGGGTGGAGGAGGTTGATCTCGTGAGATATGTCTGGCCTCGATGAGATTGCACTTTGCGATGAGCTAGCAGGGCATAAGAAGACCTGGATACCTACTTATACGAGGAAGGGAAAAGGGGCACATGAATCAAGAGAAATACCATGTCGGTAAAGAGAGTATATCGGCGTTCAAGGTATACATATTAGCATTGAATAGTCAGATATCAACAACTTAAATTTGGCAATATACACACTTTGATGTCATAAAATCCAGCTTCACCTTCAGTTGATAACTATATCGAGAGTCAAGCTGGGTAACTGACCCCTTTCTCCCTGTTTCAATGACCCACCTAAGAGGTATCAGTAACTTACAGATAATGATTTCGTTGTTTGCCATTCTCTCCGAGACTGTTTTCTACGACTATCGCTCCCATGTGCCGGCAGTAACGGCTTTCTAGTGCCGGGGAGGGCAGGAAGGTCGAGGTCAATATGTGCTGACATTGCGGTTGCTGACATTGCACAGGGCTGACGAAGCGCGTCGCTTGTCCGCAACAGGTACAATGTTCAAGGTCCGACTGATTCAAAGCTAAGGTATGGAAGGGATAAGAACCAAGCATTGACCATGCTGGACAAAGAAAGCGGTAATCCTGGGAAGCCCCCTCGTGAACTTGCTGGTGATATCGCTATCGCAAGTACCAGGTGACTTTCGTCGACTCATACCATCACGTGATCCTGAATGACTCACCAATACAGAGCTCTACATTCCTTAGGTAATCAGACATAAATTGGAACTCCCTCCGATACGGAGCAGCTCTTAGCTAACTTTTTTGAAGTTACTCAATTCAACCCCTCCAGATACCCCATATACCCCCGCCAGATACGAACGCAGTCATCATGGCATCCGGAAAGACGCCTGCAGAGAACATGCTTTGGGGCGGCCGCTTCACAGGTCAGTTTGTTTTTTCCTCCAAAAGTTCAATTGGCAAGTTCAATTGCAGTTGTGCTAACCTCAGAAATGGACAGGCGGCCTCGATCCCCTCATGCTCAAGTACAATGCGAGTATAGGATACGACAAGCTCCTGTTCAAGGAGGATATCCTCGGCAGCATTGCCTTTGCGCGCGCCAACGCCAAGTCCGGCATCATCACCAACACCGAGTTCACCGAAATCGAGAGAGGACTCCGGGAGGTGCAGAAGGAGTGGGAGGCTGATACCTTTGTCATCATGCCCAATGACGAAGATATCCACACTGCCAACGAGCGCCGGCTCGGCGAGATCATCGGCAAGGACATTGCCGGCAAGCTGCACACGGGTCGCAGCCGCAATGAGCAAGTCGCCTGCGACATGCGTCTGTGGCTGAACAACCAGATCAAGGAGATCGAGAGCCACCTGGTCGCCTTTATTGAGGTGATTGCTGCCCGCGCTGAGGCCGAGGTGTAAGTCTGATTATTCCCTGCAAATCTAGTAACCCCCATCCTGACCTTTTTAAATAGTGGCATTCTTATGCCTGGATATACCCACCTTCAGCGTGCCATGCCGGTCCGGTGGTCGCAGCACCTGCTGTCATATGGCTTCGCCTTTCAGAGTGATCTCGACCGTCTGCGCGAGGTTTCGAAGCGCGTGAACAGGAGCCCCCTCGGCGCTGGTGCTCTCGCCGGCAACGGCTTCAACATCGACCGCGATATGATGGCCGAGGAGCTTGGCTTCACAGGCCTTCTGTGGAACTCCATGGGCGCCGTTGGCGACAGAGACTTCGTCACTGAATTCCTGCAATGGGGTAGTATGTTCATGCAACATACCTCTCGCTGGGCCGAGGATCTTATCCTGTACTCCTCTTCAGAATTCGGCTTCATCTCCATCGCCGATGCGTACTCCACTGGAAGTTCGCTGATGCCGAATAAGAAGAACCCCGATGGCTTGGAGTTGTTGCGCGGAAAGGCTGGCCGAACATTCGGCCACATGGCCGGCCTGATGATGACCCAGAAGGGTCTCCCCAGCACATACCAAAAGGACTTGCAGGAGAGTTGGGAACCCATGCTGGATCACGTCAAGACCATCTCGGACAGTCTTCAGATCGCACAGGGTATCCTCGTCACTCTGACCGTCAGGCCAGAGCGTATGAAGGCTGCCCTGGACCCCTTCATGCTGGCCACCGATCTTGCCGATTATCTCGTACGAAAGGGTGTCCCCTTCCGCGAGACGCACCACATCTCTGGGCGCTGCGTCGCCGAGAGCGAGAAGCGCGGCATCCCGATGAACGAGCTCTCGCTGGAGCAACTGCAGGCTATCGACAGCCGATTTGGGGAGGACGTTGCGCAGACTTTCGACTACGAGAGGAGTGTCGAGATGAGGGCGTCCAAGGGAGGTACGAGCCGGGCGAAGGTTCTGGAACAGGTCCAGGTTCTTAAGGGCATGCTTGCTTAGAGAGGTGTTTGATAGCAGAGACCCAAAAAGGGCAGTTTCTAGAGGGATTCAAAAGGCGTATTGGTAGAAAGGTGTTAGGTTCCGAAGTAGCCCGTCGGAGGCACTAGAAGGGTGAGGTGGTTTATCAAGGCGATTATGAGCGAGCGTGATCAAAGACTGAGCAAGGGCGGCTCCGCCGACTTGGCTGGCCTGGGCCAATCCTCGTCCAGTTTTCGTCTGGTTCTCAAAGGATAGAAAAATAAAATAAACAGAACTGCATACTTATCAAACAACCACGCTATTGAAGCATCAACCAATTGCTATAAACACTGTCAAGATGACCGACGAGATCTCAGTGTTACTGAATAGCCTCTATGTTCCTCGTCCAGGTTAACGGTCAACCTCAATGGCCTCAAGATGAGAAGAACTTAGTAGACGCAACCTTTGTCCAAATATTGTGGTAGACTACCTGCCTGCTAGCCCAAGGTAAGTATTAGTGTACCAGTATGTGAAAGGCGAAGAGAAAAGACCCGACCCACACAGCCACTCACTGACCGCCGTTTCCCACGGTCCCCCTTCCCCGCCCCTCCTTCCGGCCCCAGAACCCGGCCGGGTGCTTTCCCCCCGTCCTCTGCGCAGCATAGCGCCGTAGCCTCCCTCACAAAGCTCACAGGCTCACAGCTATGCGTGGGAATCCCAATCGGTTCCAATCGGGTCGAAAAAGAAAATCGGCCCAAACTCGCATCCTCTCCATGTTGAAGCCCAGAAAATGTACCCAATCTATCCTGGGAGTTTACATCGCCCCGTTACCAAGATTCAGAGGAACTGAAAATGCACCAAAAAGCGAAGCTGCCCTTGGAGGAAATTTCATATTCAACTTCTTTCTTGGAAGTCAAGTACAATGCCTGTAGCATGAGTAGCGTAAGCGCGTGCTGACTCTGCCTACTCCCCTTGAATCAATTCTTCACACATGACAATTCGCAGATAGAGACGGCTGCAGGAAAGACAACACGTGCAAATCCTATCCCGCTCGTAATTCGGCCGGCGAATCGGCCCCCCTCCCCTCCCCGCCTCAAAATCACCCGGAGATTCGACCCGGGTCCCCACTTTCTTCCTCCCCGAACCCAATGACGACGAAAGGAAAAGTAAAGTACCCGACCTTACCTTCCCTTTAACCCTCTGTACTCCTCCGTACCCTCTACCCATCTTACTTTCACCAACAAAAGACTGCAGATAATCCAATGAAAAGCTCGCTGCTCACCGAGAAAGAAAAAAAAAAAGAAAAAAAAAAGAGGCAAAGTAATGTCGCCTCCCGAACACGCTGCTCAAACTCATTCGCCCATGGCCAGACCCCGTTCCACCGTTTTCCCATCGTCAGTTCGGTAGTTCCCAAAGTCCCCCCTCCCGGACCCTTCCCCCTTCCCAATCATCCGCGCCATCCTTCAACCCAGCGCCAGACCAACCCAGTCCAAGGTAGGCACGTAGGGTACCTGTGTAGCCTCTCCATCCGTCCCTCTCATCCCGCTGATCCGCTGCACGTCATCACCCATCGCTCCCGGTACCATCGCCATCATCAAACACACCGCCTATGGTTACGGTAGGCGTGAGTCCCGGTCCATGCTGATTGAAGGTGAAAGTTTCGCCTCCCCCGCCCGCGGCAGAAACGCCTCCCTAGCAACGGCGTCGGCCTGGTGCGGCTCGTGACTTTACTACAGTAATGGTGGGTGTCCTGCCGTCGAGGTCGGCGAGCGGTGGCCACAAGTGAGATCTAGCAAGCACCATTGTCTGACATTTCACATGTGGGATTGGCTCGGGAAAATTAACAATGTTGGCACGGGGACGTGATAGTGATGGCGCAAGTAAACATTTCATTAGAGCTGCGAGGCTCTTCTATGGAAACCCAATCTATCATAGGAAATAAGAAACACACATACAAAATCATCCGTCACTCATGCTGCTCCGTAACAGAAGTGGAAAGAACAAGATGCTGGTCATCAATCCGTCATCGTCATCAATCTATGCCATCATCCCTGTATGCTCGTCGTGAAACATCAGTATGCGCCGATTAGAGGCCTCGTGCTGCGGCGAGAAGACGAGGCCGGACGCTATATAACGTTGTGGTTTTGGTATCCATGGTTGTTGTAAAACGTATAATGAGTGCCTTGAAATCGACAGGCAAACATGGCCCGCTCATGGGCTAGGACTAGGGCTAGGACTCTCGTACTCCATAATCTCGATGGAATAGTAGGGGAGCTCTCGCGCCAGCGTGCCGCTGTCGCAGAAGATAAAAGTGCCTTCAACCTCACTCTCGGGCTCCTCGACTTCGTCGATACGAGGCGGAGGTGGGTCTTGGAACAGGATGAAGCTATGCCTGTGGCTGTCTCCGTAGCGTCGCCGGAGTCTGCGGGCGCTGGAGCCAACATCGTCTGCGTCGAGGGGTGTCATATCTTCGTGGTCAGAATCGCTACGCTCCGAAATGGTGCGCTTGCCAATGCTGGATCCGTGGGACCGACGCTTGCGCATCTTCAGCTCCCGTTGCATGCGCACAAACTCGCGATGAGCCTCATCGGCATCCAGGTCGTTGTCCGAACCTTCAGAGCTGGATCCATCAAATCCGAGATTCCTCATCTCCTGGGTGAAGCCAGGAGGGAGCCCCTTAGGTGGTGGTGCCCGTGAGCGGGAGCGAGCAGATGACGGGGAGGAGAAGCCGGAGGGGGCGATGGTGCCACTGCGGTCGTGATCCATTGGGTCAAAGTCGGAAAGCTCTTCCAGCGTAAAATTCGCCTTGACAGTTGAGGTGGTGGTAGCGGTGACAATATGTGTTTCCTGGCCTTTTTCTTGGATAGGAGGGGTAGCCAAAGACTCTGGTTCCGAATCAGAGTCGGACTCCTCGTCTTCGTCTTCATCATCATCTTCTTCTTCTTCTTCTCCTTCTTCTTCTTCCTCCTCATCCGATTCCTCTCCAGAACTGCAGTCGACAGCCATACGAGAGGCCGGCATAGGCACAGACCTTGGAGCGAACATGGAAGCGGACACCGATGCTGGCATCGGGGCCGGCATTGGAGCCGGAGCCGGAGGAGCAAAGCCCATAGGCGTATCATCGTCTGAGTCCTCCGATTCTTCGTCGTCTTCATCTTCATCGCTGTCTTCATCATCGCTATCTTCATCTTCGTCATTGTCTTCGTCGTCGTTGGCCTTAGGTCTTATGTGAGGTACCTGGCGATGTTCAGACTCGGGTTCGGACTCGGATTCCTCCACTTCATCAGACTCAGAAGAGTCTTCGGAAGAAGTGCGGGGTGATAGCTGAGCGAAGCGATTAGAAGGCGTGAAGCTGAATTCGTGGCCATTGCCAGTAGGCTGAATGCTGGAGTCATCTAGTATGATTTGGTGATGCCATTGCGGCAAGTGTCGTGCAGCGAACTTGCGGTTCGCCATTGGCACAGTGGTGGTAGGGGTATGAGGCGGTGAGTTTGGACCTCCAAGAGGGCCCAGCATCATGCTGGGCGTCGCCGGCCGCGACTTGCGAGGCATGCTCAATAGCGCCTGCGATATGGCAATTGAGGTGCTGCCTCTCTGATGCGCCTCAAGGGCCAGTTTGTTAAACTGTGGCTCTAGCCTTATTTGTGTGGTCGTGATCTATCGATCGTGTCTTTGCTGCAGGACTCGGATTTTTTTCTTCTGTCTCTCTCGATCTTGCGGGGAAGATGAAGTTGAGCGGGCAAATGAGATCAGATCAGCTCCAACGAGCGACAGCCAGTAGATAGGCTTGGTTATGTGATTGGTTCCGATGAAGGTGGTATATCAAGCGAAGTAGCAAAAGTCAAGGCGTCAACACCCAGAGTAAGAACCTCCGACAAGGAGAAGAGGATATTCGGCTGAAGCTGTAGGTTGTCATGATAGATCTGGCGGGAATTGCTTGAGATTGAGCGAAAGCGCGCGGGTGGAAGCGGACCAGTTCGAATGCACTCAAGGAGCAACACAAGCCAGGGTCTCTTCTAGGAATGAAAGCACAGTTCAGGTCACTAGTAAGTGACGGAAATGCCCCAACGTTCGTTCTCTTTCGAACGAGAAATCGGGGTTTCCAAGCAGCTGGGTGTCACTGACCCGACACTGACAAGAGAGACAGTGGGGAGGAATGTTTCGGGGGAGACACCGTGGGATGTGCGGGATCCCGGGTGTGGGGTCGACGAAAATCGGGCGGGCGGTGACGATAGGACCACGGGCTTTGTCCAGGGTGACCAGGGACTGCCTTGTTGAGGGGCTGCGGGTGGCAGCACGAAATGGCTGACTGAGAAGAAGAAGAAAGGCGGTGGTGCAATGTGCACGCGAGCAGGAATAGTACCAGTGAGGTGACTTCGGCTGCTGGCCTAGGGGAATGTATTGGACGGAAGAGAGTTGGGGAAAGTCGAAGACAAGCGTGGGGGACCTGGGTCAAAAAGAGAGGCTCAGGAATTTGTCGGACAAGAGGTGCGTGGGATGAATACCGTAGAAGAGCACCAGAGGAACGACAACAACAAATTGCCGGAGCCAGCGATTCCGAGCCTGAACCCGAACCTGAGTCTGGCTGGATTTGTTGTGATGCGTTGTCGTCTCAAGTGGAATGGCAAGCCAAAGGGACGGACTGCCGATTGTATGATTCCTCGCTGGATTCTGAAATGTGGATGTCCGAGCTGTCGGTGGTAGTGGTGGTGGTGAGCAAATCTCACGGTGTTTCTTGAATCAACCGTCTAAAATGTGTACTAAATGACTCCCGTGATAGGTCGAGAGCGGGTCGTTGGCACGGCCAGACAGCCCCGGTCTTATAGGTATGGCTGATATAATGCTTGAATTCCCACCGATCGACCCTTTGCGCTGACTAGCAGAGGGGATGGGAATCGAACGTGAAATGTTGGCCAGACGGTTGATGGTCGAGCGAAAGGTAGACCCAAGTCAACCACGAGAAGAGAAGAGGGGAGAGGAGAAAACAGAAAAAAAGATTTTCTAACAGTGCGTGGGATGGGGAGAGAATTAAGAATTAAAAGAAGTCATTGCACATGTGCGCTGCAGCTCTGCGGCATGCCCATGCCCATGCCATTCCATGCAGCAAAGAGACTCCATCCCTTGGTCACCTAAGGTAAGGTAGAGAAAGAGGGAGAGCCTCTTCTCGCCCTCGTGCTGCAAGTTGCAACTGGTGCTGCTAGAGTCGTGTGTGTGCCTGCCAGCTGCTTTACTGCGGTGTAATCTCATTGCTGGCGCGAGCGCTCCTGCGGAAGACCCCATAGTGCCGCTGCTGGATACTGTGACCCTCGTGGAGTTCTTCCTATCAGAAGTAAAAGTCTTGTCCAGCCGGCGGTTGGGGTTGGTTGGGGTTCCTCTTTTACGCATTCTCGCGGGGCGCAAAGTTGGATTTTGGGCAGCAATGCTCCAGGACTCCCCCGGTCCAACCGTGTGTCCCGCAGCGGCGTCGAGAGACTTTCATGTGTGTGTGTGTGTGTGTGCTCGCGCGTTTGCGGATACC